CAGTAACTTGACCAGTTCAATTCTTTAGTTCCAAATTAGATGAAGATGTTCTGTTTACAGACTGTTTTCATAATTTTATTTTGGAATATCTAAGCATGGTATTTCAGCTCTTTTTTATAGTGTTGAAGCACCCGAAGTGTTGAAATAGTCATGAATCTGAACACATCTTGCCAACCCCCCCCCCCCCCCCCCCCCCGTGATACATTCACCATAATTTAGAAATGACTTGAAGGCAGACAAGAATATAAATTAACTGAACACTACATACCAGATCCTGACTTTTTGATCAATTTCACTTTGGTTTCCAGTAGGTTTCCTAGCAGGTGTCAACATTCAAGCTCACAAAAGTAGTCTTACTCATATATACATGCAGAAATACTGTCTGCACTATTCAAAATAGTTTATTACTAGGTATTTATGTATAAATGAGAGAGGAGAATGGGTACAAGAGTCTTTTATTATGTTTTGACCAGAAACCTTATTTCAAAAAGTGCCATTGGTGACTAAGGGACATATGCTGGCAAGCGAAGTGACAGATTGAACCTATGTAAAATTTCCATTTAAAAAATCCTGCCCTTATATATATTAAGGAAACTTTCCAGATGAAGTCAACATTGTCAGACTGCTGGAAAAAGAAATAAAACTCAGATGAGAGGAGAGGCTGCCTTCATGCAGGGCTTCCCAAATGTTTAAAATTAACAGTGAAATTCTCAGAAGTTAGACTTATTAGGTTTAATTTATTTTTCTCTCTCTTAAATTGGTTTAGGATCTCAGCCCCAGTCATTATAATGAGATCCCACCCATCAAATGGTTCAAATCGAAAGTATATCCAAGTCTCTTGCAATGCCTCTTACACAGCTGCTTTGTGGTAGTTTATGTATCCTCTATCTGGAAATATCTCAGTTCACCATTTGGGAATCATTGCAATAGATTGGTGGTCCATGTCTTTATTGCAGTGTAAAAATGTAGGAGTTCGAATAGTAAGTTTAACAGTAGTGTTATCTTTACAAGCAAATAACAAAAGATCTCAGATAATAGATTCCTCTATCCCAAGTCTTCAGGGGAGAAAGGTTTTATTAGGGGAGGGGAGGGGAGGGGAGGGGAGGAGTATGCTTTATTTTCTTCAGAGATTGAGAAATCAATATCCAAGGCAGATGCCGCTGAAAGGCATCATTTCAGCAACCTACACACAGTGTATTTCTGGATGTTCGAGGAATCAACATACAGGTTTCTGCACTAGATGCTAAATTAGAGCACAAATGGTTTGTTTTATTAAAATACTCTATTTATAACCTATCCCATCATTATAGGACCTTGGTTTTCTATGCTCACGGCTCCCATGATGCTCTATTGGGCCAGATTGCTTCAGCTAGTTTTAAACTGTCTGTTTTCAAACTGATAACACTTGTAAAAATATTTCTAAGTTGATTTTATTATAAGCTGCCCTGAGATCTTCAGATAAAAGGTAAGATATAAATACATATTTTAATAAATAAAAAATAAAATCAGGACAGCAGCCCATTAAGTTATGTGTATTTCTCTGTTTCTTTGAACTCCTTCCCCAAACTAGGGTCAAGATTGAATGTTGATCAGATATGCTATTAAATGTATCAAGTTTTCTATATGGATACAGTTCCCTGTGGAAAAAATCCAAACAGAGCGTGAAATCTATTTTTACCAACAACAGTGAAAATGGTAAATTTAAAAGTGTGCATTCAGATGGCTGAATGACCCTCCATCCCAAAGCAAACAATCAAAAATTACATTGGGTGCATCTATACCATATGACTAAAACAGTGTGACATCAGTTTTAACTGCCATGGCTCAATTCTATGGAATCATGGCTGTTGTAGATTTAGGCTTTCAGCTTCCTTTCTCAAAGAGTGCTAAAATATTATTACCAAACTATAAAGAGTGTTCGCCAAGCTACAAATCCTAAGATACCATAGCATTTTGTTGTGGCAATTAAAGTGGTGTCAAACTGCATTAATTGTATGGTTTAGAGATGCACCCATGTACACAAAAATTGATCATAGGGAGGACTTGGGGAGTTTTAGCCTAGAGAGTGCTAGTCAGAGAGTTTAAGAACCACAGTTACCTTAAATCCTGCAATTTCCAAACATCTATGAATGACATCTGTTCCTATCCAGGATTTAAACCATACTTACCAATCCAATCCTCTAGCCTTGAAATTTTGTTTTACCAAATACTTTCCTAAAATTATGCTGTGCTCTATGAAACACAACTGGCTGTTTCTGATTTTTTAAGATTTGTGGAATCCCTCAAATCTAAAAGGGATGGATGGGTCCAGATGATTACTTTCTATTTTTACAAAAGCTCCAAATCAGCCTAAAGCAGGTTGGGATGGCATCTACTTTAGCTTGGCCTGTCGTTGCTTTTATAAAAGGGCAGTTTATTTTGGTCATAGTTTTCAAGTAATTGAAAGCCTGCATGTCTACAGCTGAATTCAATTTGCCAGAGGCTACTTTTTGTTCAACTAGATTTTATATATGTACACTTTCCTGATAATAACCCCTATGTAATATATTTCCCTCCTAAAACATACACTCTAATCCTGCTTCTGCCTTTTGTTACATTTCCTTTTCTCTGCAAGTCACTGTAGCATACTAAACACAAGACAGAAACGTTTGTCAGTTACAGCTATTGTAACTGAGCCCCGGGTGGCGCAATGGGGGTTTGAATCCTGGGAGAGTGGTTTGAGCTCCCTCTGTGAGCTCCAGCTCCCCAAGTGGGGACATGAGAGAAGCCTCCCACAAGGATGGTAAAACATCAAAACATCCAGGCATCCCCTGGGCAATGTCCTTGCAGACAGCCAATTCTTTTACATCAGAAGCAACTTGCAATTTCTCAAGTCGCTCCTGACATGAAAAAAAAAAAGCTTTTGAAATCAGAGGAAAGAAGTCTCCTTTAGTTTTTCCACCACGAGAGGTCAGTGTGGACCAATATACAATCAATGCATTTTCTGAAAGCATAAGCTGCCCAAGTGGCAATCTAAAAGCATCACACCCCCTGGCAGAAAAGCATTGCATCTCTGCAACCTTTTCCTTCATCTCAAGAGCCTAACAATGCAGACTTCAGCACCATTTCCTTTCCCTCCCATTCCATTTGTTCTTATGACAAATACTCTGCATTTCTCAAAATCTGCAAATATTTTTAATAACCACTGCATTGGCCTAATAAAGATATTGCTCTTGAGTTTTGAAATCAATGTCAACATTATTGTTAAAATGGAAAATTCTTAAATGCTCTAGTGTGCTAACATTACATATCTGATCATAGGATATCACTTGTTTATTTGTGTTATTGTGGTGAAAAGCTTGGTATCATAATATGGCATTTTGGCTTTCAAAGAATGATGTCTACAGCCTTCTACTTGCCTTTCTTCAAATACCCCAAAGGAAAAAATGCACAGAATACAGCATCTAGTTCTTAGTATTAAGAAATGACAAAAGTGAAATTTTATAACTAAGCAGCTTTTTGTATATGTGTGGCAAACATGCCTCAATGGGTCCCTTTAAAAATCCATCATTAAAGAATGACTATGAATGACAAACAATGGCTTTCCACACAATAAATGATAATAAAGTACTGGTGGCAGCCTGGATCATTTTTGATGCTTGAGAGGCTCACCAGAGTGAAAAATTGGGAGTTTAATTTGTAAACCTCAGCTGAAAATGAACAGGATTTCATTCCAATTATTTGAGCATATCATCCATAAGCTCTACATTAATGTATACAATCCCCTCTCCTGTGCCATTCCTACGCACTGAAAACAGTTCTTTGAGGTGAATAAATTATTTATTTAAGGACATGCATTAAACCGGGAATTTCATGGTAGGTGAGATGTAATATATTATTTATGTTATAATAGAAAGTTTGGAATCATACAATAGATTTTTGTAACAAATTGTTTAGATCCATCCAACACAAACCCAAATGTTGGCCATGTGAAGACCATTTTTAAACTTCTTGCAGTATTCACTTGCCAAACTTTCAACATGCTGCACCTTTTAATACAGATTGGGAGATATACTCCACACTGTCCCAACTGTTTCCAACCAATTGTCATGGTGAAGATACCCCATTCAATATGGAAATATATTATGGGGGCAGTTTAAAGTTTGCATGGTAGCAATCTTGTAAACAGAGGTTCTAAGTTTCAACAGCAAGGTGTGAACATGGTGCAAGAAGATACACATGGGATAGGAGCTGTCAAATTTGCCTGAGTTAAATTGCTTCAATGACGGGGCGTAAGGGGCATTGCTGTGTGCAGTCACCTATCAAGCATTGACATTTCCCTCCCAAAATCCTGCTTCATGATCCTGGCAAAATAATTTTTTCAATTAATTTAATCATTCAAAATATCTTTGTATTTTCCTATCTGTACTGCTAGCTTCTTGGACTTCTGCAATGGAGAATACTAAGAAGCCAGTATCCCCAGAGTGCTGACTCTTTAAATCAGTGCCTCTGTTTTACTGCAGAGCAGCAGGATGAGGGGTGAGAGAAAACCAATATCTCCAGGGTTTTCTCCCCCAAGGTTTAAAACAATAGAGGGTGTATAGAAATGAACTCCCTGGTTTTATAAATCTGAAAAGGGAATCATTTTGGGAGAAAATGCAATAAATAATATGTGATAAGGAATGACAAATGGAATTATGTGCTTTGTAACTCTACAGGACTAAACACCATGGTAATATGATCCTCTCCCCCCCCCACCCCACCCCCACGCCAACACACACATGGGATAGAGTCCCTACTGATCCCAAAGGCAGACTGGGCAAGTCTGTAACCTATATGTTTAGAGTAGTACGAAAAGAACAAGAAATTATCTGTGTGTATTATGACAAAACCACATGTGTCAAAACTGAAGGAGGTGTCAAAAGTACAAAATTCAGAAGATAGTTGTTAGAAGTGGTAACTCTGGAGGCTGCAGGTGTGGGTAGCTTAGAAAATGAGTAGAAAGATGCCTCCTCACCTCATTTCAGGGGAACATCCTCTTCATTGCAGTTACAGGTCACTAGTTCAGAATATAAATGATAGTTTATTATTTCCATTGCTTCTACCTTGAGAACTTGATCACAATTTCATTACATTCAGTCCACAACATTATATGGCATCTCCACACAAGATTCTGTTGACTAGAAATAAGTGAGAGGAAGGCAGAGGCTGAGCAAAGGCAGAGCAGCATGAAAGAAGAAAAGTGGTAGGGAAAAAAGCCTGGTGCATCTTATCTTGGAAATGGATTGTATTTATCCAGGCCCACCTTAACCTCCTTTACATTCACTACCAGCCTAGTGCATCATACATGCTATTCCTGTGGATCATTTGTCTACGGAATTGAAATGCAAGTCAATATATTGTAAAAGATTGCTGATTGTGACTCCAAGTACGAGGCACATTCCATTTCTATGATTAAGGTAGAATTGTGCCTTTTTATCATCCATATTCTATCTCAAAAGTGAAAGTCAGTTGCCTTCATAGTAATACATAAGCAGACATTTTATATAATCAATTGGTTAAAGAACAAAGACTAGTAAAACATAAGACTGAATGGCAGAAGTAGAATGGGGTTCTCATATATGGGTATGCATTCACATATGTGTATTTATAGATATATGAATGCACAATGTAGATATATTAAAATTACTGCATACTGTGACAAACTGCTATCCATAGTGCCCAGTTGCTGACAAGACAAAATAGAACAGTCTATATTGGCAGGAAAAGGAAGGCTAGAATAAAGGAAATTAATGAGAAATTGTGGAAGATCTTAAAAACAATGTCAGAGGTTGCACAAAGTGGCACGTATCCCACCAATGGAAAGGAAACTGCAGTTCTGAAATGAAAAACTGTGTTTGCTCCCTCCAACTGGAATTTAATGAGGGCTTTCTTATTTTTATCTTATATAGCCTCACATTAAAAAAAAAACAAATTCTGCACAATAATGTCTAGAGGTGATAATTGTGCAGCCTTTAATTTTGTTTATATATTTACATACAAAATGGAACTACTCACAAGACTGCTTTATGTCTCATGGAGATCAGATGCAAGTGCTTAGACATGATATGCCAACATTTTTTAATTACAAGTTCATTGTCAATCCTTATTAATACATAAATTGTGTGTGTGTGTAATAGAGATATTATTTTAAGGGCCATATATAGGGAAACTTGCTCTTTACTCGGTATACAGTCATAAAGCAAGTGTTGTTTGGCTCAAAATGAAACACAGAATGTGTGTCGCAAGAAAACACTGTGGGGAAATGGAGCAAAAGTACTATTTTAGATCAGCACTGAATATAGAAGGCCAAGTAACATTCTGTCTATGCAAGTGCTTCTCAAGAAGAGCCTGGGGCATTCTCCCTTGCCCAAGGCATGCCAGACACACATTCATATGGGAATGCTTGAGTCTAATCCTGATCTCAAGGGCATGAATTCACCAACCACATTTGTTTAAAGTGAACTACTCTTGACATACAGGAAGGGGGCAAATTAAAATCTACTGCACAGGTACGGAACAGGGCTTGATATTTTCCATCTGCATAATTCAAGACCATTCAAACAACATGAGAGACAGTAATCACTCTAGGTGTTATAGTTAAGTACATTAAATGAAGTGACAGAGACATCCCAGGCTGAGGATAGGGGTTATTTTGTTGCTGCTGTTGACTATTCTGAGTTCTCCAATTCTCAACCCAGAAGTCTTCTTGCACAATAGCAGGATTCATTATATATTAGGAAAATTGTTTTCAGAATTCAGATCAACCAAGTTGGATCAGTTCAAGGCCACGCCAACTTCTGTCCTTTCCACAAAGAGTTTTGGAATCACAAAAGGAGCTTCTCTTGCAAAGATCATAGCTCAGTAATGGGGCAAATGCAATCTATTGTGTTAGAATCTAGAGTTAGGGCATTACAGAACTTTTGATCCCTGTGCAGAATATGTTTGCTGCCAATACAACTTCTCAGAGAAGTCAAACAAAACCTTATCAACCTACAAAAAGATGCATTAGCCCAGCCACTACGCACTACTTGGCAGCTTGAAAAGGAAGTCCAGTGACCACTCATGCTGGGCAACAGGAGTGGCAAATGACAAGAGAGTCGTGATGCACCACTAATCCAAGATTTTTAAAATGTGCAGGTTCCTTCCTTGCTTTTCCTATTGCATATAAAGAGACAGTCTGTGATTCCAGCTGTTCTGTGTGAAAGTGGCTTGCTTCCTCCTTGATGAATCCTTCTGCAAATTCTGGGGTGATGCTAAGTCAAGGTACCATGTATTGTCCAAACTTGGCCATCCCCCACTTCTACCAAAGAACTAGAGCAAGTGCATTTAAAAAGTGATTAAAGCATTGGCGCTACTGACAACACAAAAAACACACCCCACCCTCCCAAAAACCACTTCTGATCAGGGTGGCTGTCTGGCTCCAGGACTACGATGGTGTCTTGAGACCGTAATGATGGGCAGATCCAGTCCAAACCTGAAAAATAAGTTCCTGAGGAGCCACCCTCCCCATATGGCCCTATTGTTAAGTAAGAGTGCAGTCAGATGCATGGGCCCTGCATTTAAAGGTGTGTATCTTCCTCAAACACATCTCCTTCTTCGCCTGGCCGCTTGTCAATAAGAACATCCCAACTTTCGGGTCCATTCACAGCTCCCCCGCCATTCACACTTGGCTTCTTTTCTTGCATTTCTGATTGGCTGTCACTGGCTACATCCAAGGTGGGATTGTCATGGCAGCCGTTCTCAACAAAGCGTAGCTCCTCGCCATGGGACTGGAAAAGAAGCACAAGAGGGACAGGAAGCATTTTGTTTTTAAAATCTGATATACAAAAATAACTTGGTAAGCACTCCCACCAGCCACTGTCAATGCTAGAAAGAATAAATATTTAAGTCATATATTACCAATGGACTCACCATATTCTTCATCTTGGGTAGACGCCTTTGCCAGCAGTTGTAAATCAGTCCCATGATAATGATGATGACACAGATTGAGCCAATGATTACCAGCACCACAAAGAGTTTCCCATAATCACTGTGGGTCTGACTGGGACGTGACTGGCAACCAGACGTAGTGGTATAGTTCTGGATTCCAATCTAAAAACAAATAGTTACAGAAACTCAACACAATCTACATATTTGAAAAACAAACAAGAGGTTGCTACCTGATAATTACACACACACACACACACACACACACACAAATAAATAATTCATATGCATGCATTTTTAAAGCAGGCTGAACATCTGTATGAAAACAGCATGCAATATTTGAAATGTCAGCGATCTATTCTTAAGGTAGGTAAGTAAGTAATGTTATTTCAGCTATATTGCCACAGAAGCCTAAATCCACCAAGAATAGACCTCCTCAGTTAATGAGAATTTAATTTTGTATTAAATATGCTTCTTTGATTAAAGAGGTCTATTGTAATTGGAACAATCAAGTATAGGCCATAAGTGATCCTCAATCTGAAAGACTTTCTCTCTTATCTGTCTGTCTGTATATACATCCATCTTTCTGTATGTTCTTCAGAAGCAGTTCTTTGGGAGACTGCATTTTTGGTAATGATACCCTTAACAGCCTTCCCAGAGGTCAATGGGCTGCATCTTTATGGTCTTTCGACATGTAGTAAAAACGTTTTTATTTACCGAACCCTTCTAAGTAATGTATTTTCTTAGTGTAGACCTCTTAATTTGAAATCTAGTTTTTGAAGCCTTGCTATTTAAAAATTCTAACAAAAATGGCAGTATAACTTCATCCATTGACATTGGAAAATCAGCACGAACAAAATCCAAGAATTATTGAATTGATTGACTGACTCATTGCGTTAACACTAAAAAGGAATACTCCAGGAGCAGGCAGCTTGTTTTAGAAATTAATCACATTTCTTGGGCAGGAACACACCTTTTGAAATGATACACTTTCACACAAACACATCACTTATTGCTCTGAAAAATTATTTGTTAATATGGCTGAAGTTAAAGGAACCTTGCAGTAATATTGCAGAATGGCCATCACCTAAGTTACTGAGCTCTTGTGACCTGATAGTCAAGTACTACAAAGCTTCATACTGTACTTTCTAATGTAGGATATTATAATGACATTTTTCTTATTCAAACCACGGATGAGAGAAGTCTTAAGAGCTTTCGAGACAGCAAGAACACCCCAAAATGGGGAAATTTCAGTTGATGCAAACACCATCATTGCAAATACTGAAGCAGAGATGAGAGTTTAAAGTGTGCTATGCATTTTAAAAAGATCCCCCACAAAGAGTATCTGCAAATGTCTGCAACTGCTCTTGGTGTGTCCATACAGAAAGCCATTTATATCTTTTTCCAGGTTCTTAAGGATGGGCATGAAGTATCTCGAGAGATTATAATAATACATTTTTAAAAGCTAACCAAGTGAGGAAAACAGTCACAATTAATGAAAATTGACATTTGATGACGCATCAGTTATCAGAGAGGGAAGAAGGCATTTCTACTGTGAAATTGCTGTGCCATCAGTTTGCCTGTTCTGGGCTCTGAGCCCAGTCCTGGGTTAGTAGTCAAGGTGGTGAATTTTAATTGCACTTTCCCCTACGTGATTGAACAAGATCTTACTTCAGCTAAACTCCTCCGCATGTCACCCAATGCCAGAAGGACATCATTCGTCGGAACAACCCCTAGGAAATTGAATAGAAATAGAACAATTAGTCCCATATGTTTTTTTTAAATTCACATACATATTTGATGAAATGCTTTCATTATGAGACATCAGGTCTGCTTTGGAATTCAAAATTTACAATATCTGTGAAAGGCACCAGTAGACCTGACTTCAAGAGCCTAAGAACTAGAAAATATATAAGATTTTGTGCCCCAAACTAGTTCTCCTTCATGTCAAATGTGAGCTATATTCAAATACAACTAGAACTCAAATTGTTGAGAACGGCATTTTATGTTTCACAAACCAAATGCCAGTGCATTGTTCCTGCTTGGTCTTCTCCACCAGGAAAAACAGTTAAACCAGTAACTGATGAGGAAGCAAACATTTCCCATTGGGTTCGAGGCCAAACTTCTGCTTTGTCATTTCCCTGTCTAGGTCTGAAGCCAGAGTTTTTCACTCCTCATATGTTATGGGAACTACAAAACCAGTACAAGTTCAGAAGCATGAGGATGGTCATTGCATTTCAGTTAGTCTAGAGATGTTCTTACTAGAGGGAGAAATCAGTTGGGGCACAATTAAGCGGTAGCATTCAGCATATTGTCTATAAATAAACCAAAAGTCTTAGCAATCCCAGTTTATCATTGCATCTAGATGTGGCATACAAAATCTTGAACTCTGACCCCTTCTACACTGCCATATAAAATCCAGATTATCTGCTTTGAATTGTAGATCTGTATAATCCAGTTCAAAGCAGATAATGTAGAAGGGGCCTCAGAGATTAAAAGAAAAATTGTATTAGGGAATGTACTTGTTCCAACTTACATACATATTCAACCTAAGAACAAACCTACAGAACCCATCTTGTTTGTACGTTGGGGACTACCTGTATATCGGACATTGAATGTCAGAAGACAAGATTTTAACACAGAAGTACAATAATAATATAGAAGAGTTACAGTTAATATACAGATGCTACAATATTTCATATTCCTGAAGTTAAATCATGATATACAGCATGAAATGAGATTGCTCACAAAGAAGACTTGAAGTCACCTTTGCATTTCCACAAGAACTTACCATGTTCTCCAGCCAAGGTCATGAGCAGGTGTTTGTCATTCTCATTGGGTTTGCTGAGGGAGATCAACCATTGGCCCTGAAGTCCGTTTTCATATGTTGAGAAAGCATCCTCTACCAAAGCCAACAACTGGAGGCCCCTCTCCACTCGGAACTCCTCCTGGGAAAAAAGACATTTCTCACGCTCTAAAGCAGAGGCCAATGGATACAATGAATATACAACTCTTAGCTGAAAAGCATGTTTACAGAAAAAGGTTGGTGGATGTAGGTTATGTGGAAGAGATGTCCAAAGAGGCAAATCTTCTGAAGGACAAGAGAGAAAGTATCAATGGCCCATTGGAAATTAATACCTCAATTCCAATCTTGCCCCTGAAAATCTGCTGTTCAAAACCTTTTTTCTTATAGTCCATTAGTACTTCCTCTACAGAAAATGTCTCCATCCCAGTTGCTGCCATTTTCAAACTTCAAGTTCCTCTACTACAATAGATGATACCAATTTCACAGTCCTAATTTCACAAAATCCAAGTTATTCCTACTTAGAGCAGACCCGCTGAACCCATGGAAGTTACATAAATCTTGATTGATCCCATTTTCATTCATTCAGTGGCACTATTCCCTCTACACTCCCTGATAGAGAAGGCTGAGAGGGGACATGATAGCCATATATAAACATGTGAGAGGAAATCATAGGGAGGAGGGAGCAAGCTTGTTTTCTGCTGCCCTGGAGACTAGGACGTGGAACAATGGCTTCAAACTACAAGAAAGGAGATTCCATCTGAACATTTGGAAGAACTTCCTGACTGTGAGAGTCGTTCAGAAGTGGAACTCTCTGCCCCAGAGTGTGGTGGAGGCTCCTTCTTTGGAAGCTTTTAAACAGAGGCTGGATGGCCATCTATTGGGGGTGCTTTGAATGCAATTTTCCTGCTTCTTGGCAGGGGGATTGGACTGGATGGCCCATGAGGGCTCTTCCAACTCTATGATTCTATGATTCTAGGAGGCATATAGTGTTAGAAACTAAAGGTTATATCTTCACTGTAGCTCAATGCTATGGAATCATGGTAACTGTTGTTTAAATTGTCCTTGTGCAGAGTACAAATCTCATGTTTCCAGAGTAGCGTGCCAGGGCAGTCAAAGTGGTATAAAACTGCCTTAATTCTACAGTGTGGATGGGAAAACATCGACCAGCTATTAGGAACTGTGGGAGTTGAAATCCCAAACACACGAAGGGCCAAAGTTTGCCCATGCTTGGTGTAGATGCACCCAAGTGAATATGCATTTAGCTAGAAGTTACTTGGGTCCTGCTTACATCCCCACTCAGAAAGTAAAATGCACAGATAATAATAAGTGGCTGTTTAAAAAGGGTCAAGAAGAGCCTCAGTGGTTCAAACTTGCAGGTGAAGGAGAGGCGGCCCCATTCAGTGGCACCCTTTGGCCAGCTTTCCCCCCACTTTTCCCTTTCTCTCCTTGTTCGGTTGCCGTGCCAACCTAAAGGCCACCCAGATGATTACTCTGTGTTCGAGCTGCCGGTTGTTATGGCAACGCCAAGCACTCAAGGCAGGCAGCGGCCTAATGAGGAGAGACGAGGAGGAGCCCGTCCTGAGTTACAAAGGCCCTCCCGCACCTGGCTTCTCCAGGCAAAGGTTAAGGACACCTTAAGTTTGCAAGAAGGGCAACCTGGCAGACGGCATGATGATTAACACTTAAGCCCACATCAGGGCATGGTCCCTGGGCCGGTTAGATTCACCACTCTACTGCATTAGGACTGCTTGTTAATTGCCATCGATTGGGCTTCGTGATATGAACAAGAGACCTGCAAGACATCCAGTTAGAAACAGCCCTACGACGAATTTGCAAACACGGGTCGTGACTTCCTCACTTGAATCTCTTTTCCTGCCGTCTTCCGTTTGCCTCATCCTAATGAATCATGCTGTTTTATTATATGACCAACAGCATTAAGCAGAACACCTTGGAAACGTCTATGGGTTAGCACAAGCATGAGCAAACGGGCCCTCTGGGTGTTTTGGATTTCAACTCCCACCATTCCTAACAGCCTCAGGCCCTTTCCATTTAACAAACCATGTGCAGATGCAGTAGGTTAGGACACTCTCAATAGCATGGCAGTAGAAAGTCACCAGCAGTTTTTCATTCAGTTGTTTGTTCCTTAGAAGTCTAAGGGCCCTTCCACACAGTCCCTATATCCCAGGATCTGATCCCAGAATTATATGAGTCCACACTGCCAGATAATCTTGAATCAGATCCTGGGATATAGGGCCTGTCTGATAGTATAATCTTTGCTGGGTCCTCCTAACCAACGCTGCCGTTATGAGTGCCCCAGGCCAGATCCTCCTTAACAGGTAACAACCTAGGAACTTAAAACTGACCACCTGCTCCACTTGGTCTCCATTTATGACCAAGGGCTGGATTTCTGGTCTGTTCTTTCTGTAGTCCACTATGAGTTCCTTGGTCTTATTGATGTTAAGAACCAGATTATTGTCCCTGCACCACGAGAACAGCCAATTCACCTCATCCCGATAGGCAGACATCCCTTTCAGAGATAAGCCCCACCATGATTGTGTCATTCACAACTTTGGTAATGATGTTGCTATGCTGGATGGGGGTGCAATCATATGTGTACAAAGTATAAAGCAGAGGACTTTACACACACCCTGTGGTATCCCAGTGTTGAGAATGAGAGCTGAAGAGGTATGATTACCTAATCTAACCCTCTAGGAACATCCAGACAAGAAGTCCATAATCCAAGAACAGATTGAATATGACAATCCAAGATCCCTAAATTTAGACAGTCTATGTGGAAGGATTGTGTTAAACATGGAACTCAAGTCTGCAGAAAGCATCCTCACAGGGTTTCCACGTTGTTCCAGGTGGGTCAGAGCAGTGTGGAATGTGATGGCTATGGTGTTCTCTGTCAATATGTTAGCTCTATATGGAAACTGATGTTTGTCCAACACATGTGAAAGGCAAGAAATGATATCCCTGCAGACCAGTTATTCAAGGCTTTTCATGATGATGGAAGTGAGTGCCACTGGTTTGCAATCCTGAAAATTACCAGTAGAGAACTTCTTTGGTAATGGAACAACGATGGAGGCCTTCAAACAAGATGGAATAACACATACACAACCACATCCCTTTATATGTATATTTCATCTTATTTTGAGGATGTCCAGATTTCTGCATTCCACAAAGATGTATATCTTACTAGACACAAATGTTTGACTCTTATGCAGATGTGTTACATGTATATATGAATAAAATACCCAATTATTGCTTCTTGCAACCCCATGAAAGCAGATTTTTTCATAGCTGAAATATCACCATTTAATATTGGAATAGAGCTGAGAGCTTCATGATACATACAGAAATTAAGCGACACTCTGCAGCTGGGAAATTAATGGAAATTGAGCAGTGGTGCTAATTAGCATGAAATTACTATCACTAGCACCACAAAACAATTAAATAGCTATGGTCCATTCATAAAGAAGCACTGAAGAATATTTCAAACACCATCCTGATTTCTCTTACAAAATAGGATTGGCACCCAAACTCCCCTTCCTATTATACATTACTATATATTGAGAAGTAACCTCTAATGTATTCTATTGACAATTACTCAAATCCTGGTGTGCCATTTAATTCTTCGTCAAACACCCCGTTTTCATAGGAGCAAACTCAAACATAATACTTGTAAATCCTTCTGGATTATTGAAGTCTGGACATAATCAAAATAAGATTGGAGCAATGTTTACCAATACAGGGGATCAGTTGTTGTAGCTTTATTATTGTTGTTGTTGTTGGTGTGACATTTTATCCTGCATCTTTTTTAAAATTCTCTTTGTGATTCCTTTGTTTAAAGGAAGTTTATTAGTCATTCTTGTTGTTTATTCATTCAGTTGCTTCTGATTCTTCGTGACCTCATGGACCAGCCTATGCCAGAACTTGATGATGATGATGTCGAAGCCTACTTCTATGATGACTACTGTAACCATTCCACCAAAAATACCCTCATTACAGTTTTTCTCCTACTATTATTAATGTTGTGAATCTTGTGACCCTCTCATGCATGCTTATACTTCCTTTTGACTGTGCTGTGTTTCTACATAAAGATTGGGATGCATTTAGTTTCTTACTAGTATGAAGGATGTGCTACAGGATATATTATAACCTCTGCAGAAAGGTTAGTGTAGGCCAGTGGTCCCCAACCTGTGATCTGTGGACCATCACTGGTCCACAAGAACTAAAATATGGTCCGCGGCCTCACCATTACTACACCGTTGCAACAAGAGCAACTCATCTCATGAGGCTTATTAAATATGGTTTTCTGTGGGCAAGCAGTTGGCAACTGTGGATGGCATATGTTCTGTATCAGAAACTAGAGCTGATGTGGTCTATCCAATGCAGTTTTCTGAATCAGCACCCCAAATAACCAAACCAAATCTAAAGTTGACCAAAAACCAATTCGTAACCCTTTTGGTACTAATGTTGGGGAGTGGTTCCTGGTCAAAGTGGTCCCTGGTCAAAAAAAGGTTGGAAACCACTGGTTTAGGCAGAACTAGTGTCAATAAATTGCCAGCATGGTATAGTGGCTGAACACAGAGTTTGAATCCTTATTCAGCTGTGGAAACCCACTAGGTAATCTTGGCAAATCACATTCTCTCAGTATAAGAGGATGGCAAAACTAATCCCGCTCTGAACAAATTCTCCCAAGAAAACCCTATGATAGGTTTGCTTATGGTCTCTGTAATTTGGAAATAACTTGAAAGCAAACAACAGTGTTGATGTACCCAAGTACTTCTCCGCAATGTTGAGAAAAAGAAAAGACGTTTAAGAACTGAAGATAATAAAAATGCTGTATACAAACAGTAGCACATTGCTACATTTCATATGGTACCAGATTACAGCAGCCGTGCGGAGTTCTAGTGTTTAAGCATAATGAAACACAGCAGGAAAAACAAAGCATGTCGAAAAAGGAAAGCAGCCCCTTGGCAAGAGAGGTGGAGATAGGGGATGGATGCTCTGTGCAACTTTTAAAACCATGAACCATGTTCACTACAAGATTTTGAAAGGTTTCTTCACTACTAATTTAAAAAGATGTTACTACAATTATTTTTCATCTAAAGTTGTTGTGAATCTTAAACAGCAAAGGGATTTTGGATTATCAATTAATTGCAGCTTTGTGGGATTGCTGGAAGAGTAATGGATTAGCAGAATGTCTCTAGTTAACAGTCACTAAATAGTAAATAAGATAAAGGGGCAGCAAAAAGGACACAATGAAGATTTAATGGCAGCAGGCTGGTGCTCTAAATTGGAAAACGTGCCCTTGTATTTTTAGCAATATTTAAGAATGAATATACCATCTGTATACAAGTGTATACATATGTGAAGATGCATTTTGTTTAATAGTTCTGTATTATTTTAAAGAAATGGCTTGATGAAGCTTTGTGTGCTAATTACTACAACCAACAAAGTATACAAAGCCTATGTAGAATGAGATATTTTTCCTTCAAGTTGCTGGAGATATCTGGTATTTGTCAACACAAAGTGTATTAATGTGTTCCACAAAGCTTCGCTCTTCTAAAACACAGCAGTCTTTCATATTGGAAGGAAATGCCTGATTTCCCCAAAAATTATTCTCCTGTGGCTGCTAACTAGCAAGCCCAGAGGATCTATTGTTTTCTTTTAGTCAGTAATGAAAGCTGTTTTGTTACCAAAGCTTTATTTATTTTTAATGTAGCTATTTTGATTTTTTTTGGTAGAAACATTGTAGTTATTTTGCTTCATTGGGAACGCCTTTGAGTAAATTGTTTATAGAAAGGCAGTAGAGCAGTGGTTCTCAACCTGGGGTCCCCAGATGTTTTTGGCCTACAACTCCCAGAAATCCCAGCCAGTTTACCAGCTGTTAAGATTTCTGGGAGTTGAAGGCCAAAAACATCTGGAGACCCCAAGTTGAGAACCACTGCAGTAGAGTGTGACCTATATATCCACAATGGATACATTCCTAGATGTACTGTGGAAATGTGAAACTGCAAATAATAGTACAACTTATTGAAGTAGACTACTTCTAGCAGAAGCATACTATAGGGTTGACTGGATTACCTAGAAAATGCCTAGAGAGAAATGCTTTTCTGTAGCATTTCTAGATCCTCCAGTGAGACTCTACAATCAACATCCAGCAAAAACTTACATAGAATCATACTGGAGGACTACAAAATGTCTAGAAAAAGCATTTTTAACTAAAATTGTGGGAACTGATCCCATTGTGACAGATTCATTCAAGGCACAAAGTTGAGGTATTTGGGAAGGAAGCTTCACCACAATATTTCCTCCACAACTCTTTTTGAAGGGTGCTTCAGTTAAGTCCATGCAAATCACAAAGCAAGATATTTAATTAAGCACCTGGCTGGGCCAAAATAAAATTTCTTTCCTGCCTTTCCCTATTGATCAATGCAGGGAACCACAACAGATTAAAATACAACACACGGCAGCAGTTAAAAATAAACAAACCACTTAAAAACACATCAGTTAAAATAATATTGAAACCCATGAAGTCTAAGTTACTCCAGTCATGGCTATCAAATATCACTTGTGGCAGCATCAGAATATTATTTTACATTCCTCAGTATGGCATCACTGTGATTACCTACAAAGTCAAGCCACAAGGTTGTTTCTCATATCACTTTTAAAGTCATGAACAAAGCATCTCAAGTCTCAACTACATGTCTATTTTGGAGAGATTTCATTATCTGTTTCACAGAAATACAAAAAAGAAAAGGTCTACACATCAGTTTCTGAAACAAAGCATTTATTCTAGCTAGACTTTCAAAATCCTGATTTATACATTCCTAAAGAAACATATTTGCAAGTTCTTTGTGAACAGATCCCACTCTGCTCCAATAACATTTGGATATGAACAGGAGCAATCATAACGGAGTTACCCGGAAATAAGCCCCATTGGATTTAATGGCACTTACTTTTCAAATAAATAAACATAGTGTCCCTTTATAATCATGCAGTGATTTTAGTATAACTTTGTTACTATCATGTTGTTTGGCTACTTGATAGAGGTGGATTGCTTTGAATTCTAAACCCCCTTCATTTATCTCTATAACAAAGGAAAGCAGAATTCTATTTAAAAGGGAGAAGGAGAAATCTACTCACACAGTCAATGTTGTCTGACATGTTCAGGATTATGTAGTTTTTGCCTGCCAAATTACTCCAGTCCTTACAGGTCACCTGCAAAAACAACATTACGGTTTAGCTTGAAGTGATATAGGAAGATGTACAGCTTTTGTGAACATAAAAAGCCTTCTTATCATGAATCAGATCATGGAATTTTAGCACTTTATTCTCAACATTATACTCTCACTGACAGCATATTTCTGAAATCTCCTTCTAAAACTATGAAGAATATAAAACATGGAACTTCAACTACTATGGTTCCCTTTTATAGAATCCTAGACCTTGTAGCTTAATAAGATACCTAGTCATCTATATCTCAAGTACAGCATTGACTATGAACTGCCACAGGATCTCCTCTGTGCAATGTTTTGAATGTCACATAGCCAAGCATACTGCACTGTGCCAATAATAGTCAAATACAAACACATGAAAGCAACACTGAGTGTGACTGAAAACTGATCTTTAAGTTACCCCCAAAATGCAAGGAGAGTGATCTCTGAGAATTGCAAAAGCTTGGTTCCCTTCCCAGTGTCTTACTGGGGCACAAAATACTGTCAAGCATGGCGATCCTAAATTCATAACAATGCCATATACAAAAATAAATAAATAATGTCAACATTTCCTTTGCAAAATGCTCCATGCTATCCAATAATGCACCCAAACAAAAGGCCTACTTTTTATAAGGTGCCTCTAGTCCAGTTTTCCATATGAACACAAGACAACATTGAACATGGTATCCCCATCCTGCTAACCCTCTGAGGTACTCAATATGATCAACAATACACTCCACTATCTGCTGAGGATCACCTGGGAAGGAATCCCACTGGAGCACTGCAGCGCACTCAGATACCTGGGAGTCACTCTGGACCGTGCTCTGACCTACAAGAAGCACTGCCTGAATATCAAGCAAAAAGTGGGTGCTAGAAACAATATCATACGAAAGCTGACTGGCACAACCGGGGGATCACAACCAGACACAGTGAAGACATCTGCCCTTGCGCTATGCTACTCTGCTGCTGAGTATGCATGCCCAGTGAGGAACACATCTCACCATGCTAAAACAGTGGATGTGGCTCTTAATGAGACACTCTTTTGAAAACCCAGACCAGGAGAGGTTATAACAATAAATGCATATCAGTCACAAATGCACAGGAATGGAATCATTACCTGTGTCAGACTCCAGGGGACCCCTGTGGACAGCACAGCCATGCGGGAATCTCCAGTTCGTGGAGCAAAGCTTCGCTCTGATGTAGCAGTTGCTGTGACTGACAACTCTGTCATATTCTGACTAGGAGTAGGGGTAGGTGCTGGCTCATCAGTCCAATCCCAGAAATCCACTGAAGAGTTGGGGTTTGATGGGCTGCTAAAAGTCCTGGGAACAGTCTCAGAAACTTGGGTGCCATCTTCATGAGATCTTATTATTAGAAGATCATCCTCTGTCTGCTTCTTTGTCTCAGCCACTTCTGTAATCTCTACAGCTACTGTCCATGCAGTTGAATAAGTATGCCCCATTCCTGCTCCTGCTGTGGGCTTTAGATTGTCTTCATTTGTGGTGCTTTCAACTTCTCTTACATCAGTGGGCATTGTAGATGTTGTTATGGTCTTCATATGTTCTCCTCCTACTGTGGCTACTGGATTTTCTGGAGTTACTTTGGGAGTAACTTCTGGGGCAAGTTGGGTTCCTTTCGGAGTAGCTGACAAAATGGAGGACTGAGGCAAGACACTGGGACCCATGCTGCTCCCTGGGTCAAAGTCTGAGGAAGCATGTTCAGGAGCAGAGTCTTCTTCTGGCTTGTCTGCAGCCACTTCAGTCACAGGAACTGTTGTGCTGGTTGTGGTGGAAAGAAGAACTGAGTGTGATGAATCCGGCTCAGGTGTTTCAGAAAAACTGGATTTAGATATTTGACTGCTCTGAGATACTCCTTTTGACTGGTTTAAAGGAAGCAACCCTTCCTCTTCCTCAAGAGCACTGGTGGAAGGCACTTCAGAGCCAGGCTCAATGGAATCAAATGACTGGTGGAAAATGGGCACTTCCTGAGGGTCTTTGATCTGTGTCCCATTTCCTTTAGGCAAGGCCTTCTGGGAGGCAAGGGGAAAACTGTAATCTGGGTGAGAAAGAAAGAAAGCAGAAGCAATGCTATGAAAATAACAGATTTACTTCTGAAGAGCTGTCTCTTAAATATGTTATGCAAATGTCTATTTAGCAAAAAAAAAGTATTCTAATTAATCTTCCACTTTATTCATCTCACATTTTCCCGATGTCTCAAAAGACTACCAGTTTTAATTCCTGATTCTTTTCAGAGGCAGCTCTATTTTTCTTTGGCTTTCATTAATTCCTTATGAAATACTGCTTTTTCCTTCGCAAGCTGATTAAAAGCATACATCTCCATGTGGTATATACACTGAAATTTCATTCGCCCACATTAGGCATATCCTTCCTCTCTTCTTCACACTTTCTATTTCATCTTCCTACTTTGGGCATATCATAAAGCATGATATACACTAATCACCATCATTTAACAATTGATTTATTACTGTCATTCATATTCAACTGGTTAGATAAATCACATAAATAATCAGTGATAGAAAAACATTAAGGAATACTTTCTTCTCAATGCATCATTCAGTGCAAGACCATTGCTCCCTATTACCTTCTATGCTATTTTGGTGGTTTCAATTTCTAAGTTATCTTGCACATTGTATTTTCCTAATAATTATAAGCAGCTTTTTAAAAGATAGGCTCCTGTCCCCATCTCTTTCTTTGAATCTTGGGGTATACTCAGTCTGGTGTCCTTGGATGCTTACCATCATTAGCTCCAGATAGCATGGAGTGCTGGGAGTTATAATCCAAAACATTAGGGACTAAGTTGTTATAAGTCTCTAATACTACATGTTCTAGTTGGATGTTTTAAAACATGAGTTGGCTTTTAAGATAGGGCCTGGCTAGCATAAGTAATCTTAACGGATTATGGGATATACAGCACAAAAAACATCCAGAAGGTCAAACTGCTCCACCTTTACTTTAAGGGCTTACTCCTTGTGGCAATCGGCATTGTATTTTTTTGCATTCAGTCAGCACATGCAATACCTCATGAGCTAGCATTGTTGGCCATTGATACATTAGAAGCAAGGAGTACCAGGTGGTCCTGGTTTGCCAACCTCCACAAACCACACCAGCATATAGCAATATTTTTCTCACCAACACTATCCATATTACCACTTTATGAAACTATGCACTGGAAGTGAAGAAGGCCGAAGTTCAGATTGAAATGTCTTAAATTTAACAGATTCTCATTGGCATATTATTCTGAAGAGTAGTTATGTAACTGTGGAACTCATTCCTTCAATAGGTTCACCAGAAGAAAAGAAAAGCATATGAGCTAGATTTTGGGCAGTAATTAAGCTGATAGGAGCAGAGTAACACTTCCACCTACGGACCTGCTTGCCCAATCCAGTGAAAATAACATGAATGGAAGAGAGTGAGACTACTGCTCAAGAGGGACAGTAGAAGGCTTGGTTTTCCAACAACAGCAGGACAGCATTATCATAAATCATGTGACCTTGATTGGGTGCACATTTTGTTGGATTGGTGCCATGAAAGATAACACCAGAGAAAGAGAATTTTAGAATTTATTGATATTAGTGTGTCACTTCACTGAATGCAGTCTTCCAAGAAAAAGACATATTCTTTGGGCAAATAGCACAATAATACAAGTATCTGTAAACAGTGTTCATATGGAGGCAGTTATAGATACCTCAAAATGATATTTCTTATCAATTGGGTCTTTTCCCACTACAACAGTCCTAGTACTATGGTTCCACTTTAAGAGTCATGGCTGCATTCCATGGAATCCTGGGGTTTGTAATTTGGGAAGGCACAAAAGCTCTCCAGCTAAGAATTCTTAATGTCCTTCTCTAAACTGCAAAATTCAGGATTCCAAAGGATGTGGCAAATAATGTGTCTTGCATTTACATTGCACTATGTCTTGCATTTACAGAACACTTGGTACCTCAAGTGTCTAGTATTTTTCTCCAGGACATAAGTTTCCCACTTCTCCCACTGAACACCAGAGCACCTGCACTATTTTATTCATGAATCAGGATTGGGCAGATGCAGTGTGGCCTTCCAGATGCTGTTAAACTATACATCCAGCAGCCCTACCCCTCTGTGCAACCAATGGTAAGGAATGCTAAGGTTGCACTCTAGCACCATCCAAAGGGCTTCACTTTGTCAACTTTTGGTGATGAGTGATTACTTTTATCTTCATTTTTGAAGTGCTAACACACCATAATTCCTTTTACCCACATCACTGATCTATTCATGACACATTCTTAACTTTTAAGTTTATTCCTCTAAACAATTAGGCACACATATAAGTCTGATGCCTTTTCCATGAACACCTTGTCAGTCTCTGTTCAAATGATTTACTAAACTCCAGATCCAAATCCTAACCGAAACAATAATGGTGAGAGAACACTGATGAGATTTGTGCAGTAACTCTATCTTGTAAGCCGACACACGCTCATGAATTCTACATAAACTCTGGTTACCTACTCTCCTGTGGTCATAGTGGTGCCTGGTTTCAGGTTGATTGGAATGGCAAGTGGAAATAAAGAAGTGACGCCTGACACCAATGGGAGAAGAAGCCCTCTCCACAGGAATTAAAAGGTAACATCTTAAAAGACAAATCCAGGGTCATTTACAGTCAGCCCTCCACATTTGCTGTGGCTAGGGACAAAGGTGAAAAAGTGGAAAAATGTGAAATAAGCTTCTTCTTTTTTACCTGAGGAAACACCTCTCCAGGAATTTCTAGTTCTGGCAGAAGTTAACTATAGAGTTGCACCGGGGCACTTACAGATTCCTACAGAAACCAAATTAATGTGATGGGCTGCTTCTTCATCATTTGCTTTGCCTATTACATTTTTACCTGCTCACTTGTCCTCTTTTATCTGTATTGGCATTGATATCATGACCTTTGTTCTTGAATGGTGAATGGTGTGTTAAAATAAATATGCAAAATACAACCATTGTTCAATTAACAAGAAAGAAACTTATTTTACAAAGTCTCTCTATGCCTCTCCAATCTAGCTTTCTTTTTGTTCTTTGTTCAGCTAGAAGGGGTTTTTTTTAGCAACTCTAGTATTAGGAAGATTGTGGAGAGGGGAAAATGGAAAACTGAACTTGTAATGTCATGGTGCAAACGCATATCTGTAACAATGCAATAAAGCTTGAAGGAGCAGACTTCTAATCTAGCCAATGCAGATGTAGTCATCTGTGCCTTCTTACAGCAGGCAAGGTAAACAGCAGCTGCCGTTGAATTTCTGACTGAGTATGCATGGACAGCAAAACAGAAAGAAAAGGAGAGAGTCATTAACCCTCACCAGCTACCTCTAGAATGTTTTTAGAGGGTGATAAAAGGAAGTTATCACCCTCTAAAGGGAAGTTATCTCACTCCTAGAATTTTTTTTCTAGGGCCATGTTCTGCCCAGTTCTACTCCTGAGGAATATTTGCTTCAATCTAGCAAGACTCTCTGTTGTGTTTTGTCCCATCTATTATATTATTAGGAAATACAGAGACTGCCCACACAGGAATGTCAATGTGACAGTTTTTCCTAGTTACCCACATTTATCTACTGGTACCTATATTAGGCTTAGATAAAACTCAACCTGTAATTGTAAAAGGTAGGATCAACATGTTACTTGTAATCACACAATCTGGTTATAATGGATTCATCTAATTAAATTGAAGGAAATCAAATTAACTAGCAATTGAATTACTGTTAAGTAGAAGTCATCTTTTAATAAACTAGGCTTCTCCATCAAGAGGACGCTCTTTCTATTATGCCTTCAAGAGAAGTTGTCAGCCAAAATAAAGTAAGAACCATTTTGTCTATAGCTAACATTTTGATTCTGAGCCAGTACATTTTGGCATTAACACTGTATGGAGAGAAAAAGATTTAAGGCAATACCATATATGACATACTCTTTACATATAAATAATCTCAATATAGAGGCACAATTTTACAGTGGCATCTGTAGAGAGTGTAACGCATTCCTTTATTTCTTCAATAAAATACTAGCTAGGAAATCACACCATACTGTTGATTCATATGTCTATAGAAAAATACTGAATGAATGCAAATAGCAGTTATGTGTCTTTCCCTTCAGCAACTTGTATGAGCAGGAAAAGCCATATTTAAAGTTGTCTTGGGAAGGGTAAAGAGGAAAGGATTAAGAAAACGGAATGCAATTACCAAAATTGTAATTTAGCCAGAATGCTACTACTCCTGTCCTAATTTTAGAGGACAGGACCTCTGATAACCAGTGAGTGGTTAGCACCTCTTGTTTAGGGTTTTTCTGAAAGAAAACATTGGCACAATGAAGCAAGTGTATCCAATGGAACCATAACATTTGGTCACCAAAGACCGTTCACCTAGGGTGGATCCAGACAGGCCTTTATCCCAGGAGAATCCACGTTTTAAAAACACAGATTTTCCTGGGGGCCTGTCCACACTCACCCCAGAAAGTGTGCGCTTTCTGGGGTGGGTGTCCAGACGTTCTCTTTGGACTAGCCTGAGAGAATGTCTGGAGCCCCTACACCCCTCTCCCAAAGCCCCCAGACCCATTCGAAAGGTAATTAAAACTTACTCAGCCTCCATTACAGGCTTCAAGCCGCTCTTCCGGCACACAGAAATGATGCACCAGGAGAGCGGTGCGGGATTTTCCACACCCCCCCCCCCCCCCGGCTCTCCTGGCACATCATTCCTACTTGCCGGGAGAGCTGCTCGAAGCCTGTAATGGAGGCTGAGTAAGTTTTCATTACTTTTCAAAGGTGTCTGGGGGCTTTGGGGGAGGGGTGGGTATTCCCACAGTGTAGCGAGCTAAATAAGCCTGGTAATCTGTGGGAATGTTCTGGACTGTAGTCCAGTAAACGGAAGTAATGGTTTTATTCCATGCCTTCCAAACAGGCATGGAATAAATCCACTATCTGATTAATTTGCCACAAACCAGGGTTTTTCTGGTTTGTAACAATTTAATTCGAGACTGTCCAGAACATTGTCTGGACAGCCCCTCCTTTATGGCGGTAGATACCGCAATAAAGGT